TGCCCAGGGCCTCTGTCACATCGACACCTCTACACTTTCAAACACAATAGATGAGTCTCGCAAAACCTGTCAAGAACATGTCTGGGTCATATTTCACCCCAAAACAAATTATGTTTTGCATAAAGAAAGACATTTTTGTACTGTGACATTTTCTTGAAAATTAAACGCATCCCTCCCATTTCTCATTATCGGAATGCAAAAGGATGTCATTCTTTAAAAAATTAATTGAATGAATAAATAAATTGTGAAGAATTTATACATAATGGTTGTAAATGTTGTGATGCTTTTAATATATGCAGATATTTTTTTATGCTGTCAAGAGAAAGTAATGAGAATCATTGAGGATAATGAGAACTACAGTCAACTGTATTTAATTGTCATGATGTCAAAATGCAACAAACAAAAAGTTTTTCTTTATGCAAAATATATTTTTGTGCATATTATTCTTATTTTCTTTTGATTTGGGGGTGAAATGTGACCTGGACATGTTTTTGTGAGATTCACCAAACTGAATTATTCATGCGAGAGTTTGTGTATTTGCATGTCTGTGGGTGTGTGAGAGGAAGGGAACGAGAACAAAGAATATCTAAACTCTTTACCCAGCCTAAAGAAACAAACACAAAGAAAGAAAAGTCTGTATGTGTTCCTTTCCTTCTCTTTTACTCCAAATGAACCAAATTAACGTTTGTGAAAAAAGTGATTTTCTCAGTATTTTGATTTTTTTTTGCACCCTCAGATTCCAGATTTTCAGATAGTTCAATAGCTCATTCATTCAGCTTTCAGATGATGTATAAATCTCAATTTAAACAAATTGACCCTTATGACAGGTTTTGTGGTCCATGGTCACATATGTTTGCAAGCTTTGATGGCCAGTTGTACAGACTCATTTTCATTTGATATCACCTGGTCTAGTGTTTCTAATGTCCATTATGAGCCGCTTGCAGATCAGAACTGTTATGTCTTTTATTATGTGCGCAGCTCTCTGGAATACTTGATTCTGATTAGACAACCTCCCCATCCTGCTCCGCTCCACGTTGGGGTCTGATCTCCCCGTCGGGTTTATTTTGCAGTAATGACCATCTGATTGTACGTTATTCCTTAAATAATTAACACAGTTCATGAGATGAACTGCTTATGATACTGGACATAAAACAGCGCTGGGTGTCTAAAGTCTAAATTAGCATTCCTTAGGGCGGATTAGAGTACATTGTAAACTCGTTTTAATCTGGTCATTAAAACGCTGGTATGTTGTGTAAGCATTTCCTGAAAAAATGATTTTGTGGAGAGATTTCTATGTAACAGTTCGCAGAAGACACTTTTAGAGAGATCCCAGCAGACCTTGAGTTTGAATTGCCGAAGACTCTAATAAATGGACTTTCGGTGTCAAATTGAATAATGTAGAAATTACTGGAGCTGGATCTTCATCTGTATGTGTGTCATTGATTACTGATGCAGAGTTAATGCTGCTTTAATTCACTGTTAATGAGCTCTGATGAACTGTTCATACACACATTGATTTTATCACTAGAGGTCGAAAAGTGGTTGTATTCTGGGTGTTACTGGGTTACTGGGTGGGTTAATCTGATCCCATTTGTGTTGTGATCCGATCAAAAGCAATGAGCAGTCGTGCAATCCATCAATAACCCATTGCTTTTGATTTGATCACTACCCAAATGGTTTGTATTGCCGGTAGCAATAACATGCCATTCTTATTTGACACAGAATCTATTTTCTTGCTGCTAAAAATTAACATTTGGGAGGCAAAAGTGTTTGTTTATAAATTGCAGTAGTGCATAATGCATCATATCATGAACAAGATGAACGATTATCCATGCATGAATCAAACTCACTCAGAATGCGACAGTTCCATCACAGTTTTCCATGCATCATTTTTCATGATATCACTTCATGTGGTGTGACTGCTCATTTGCATAAAGTTAAACTTATCAAAACTGTCTAACATCTAAAACACAGCATGTCAGCATATAGTATACTACAAAGGATGTATTAAATAATATGTATATATTATGTATTACATATTATAAATATGTATTAAATAATAAATTTAATACATGTTTGCTGATAAACGCATTCATTTCTAATTTAATGTAATAATTAAATCAATTTTCAAATGCCAAAAAAATAAATAAAAAATTAAATTGTGAAATGTTTCCACAAAATATTAAGGAGCAAAAACCATTTTTAACATAAGAACCAATATTAATAACTGAGCACCAATAATAATTTAGAAGCAGCTTATTGGAATTATTTATGAAGGGTCATGTGATATTGAAGACTGGAGTAATGATGCTCAAAATTCATCTTTGCATCACAGAAATAAATTACTTTTTAAAATATATTCAAATAGAAAATAGTTATTCCAAATTATAATAGTATTTCATATTACTGTTTTTACTGTATTTTGATCAAATAAATGCAGCCTTGGTAAGCATTAGATTCATTAAAAAGATTCAAAAGCCATAATGTTTCCAAAAATTTGACAGGTATATGCAAATAATAAAATGCTTAAATCTACCATGCATAGTTTGGTTAGAAAAGTAAAAAGAAATTACTTATATATATAATATATATATATTCTAAATTCTGACTCGTCACTTCCACTGCTAACATTCTAGTTAATGCAGTGGCATAAAATGTCACTCTACATTATATGTAGAAGAGCTAAATGGACTGTGTGATTACACGGCTGTGTAAATGCAGTGAGAGTATAACAATGAGAAGATTACAGATGTGCTGATGAAGATAGTCATGAGCTATTGTGTGGGTCGGGAGTGTGCAGCAACTCATTTCCATTAAAAAGATGCTCCTCTTTTTGTGTTTCCTCACTCCTGCACTGAGGTTCTGGCTATTTCTGTCCTCTGTGATTCCCATGGTAACCAGCGTGAAGCTGAGCATCGCTGAGATTTCAGCATGACCTCGGCTCCTCGCTGTCAGTGTAGCGGTTGACTGAGGCAGCACCCTATTGTCTCAGAGGCAGAGCAAAGCGCTTCACCCCATTTATGGCGCAGAGAAACCCAGGCAGTCAGCAGCTCTTTGTTGCGATCTCACGATGATGGCTGTATTTTGACTGTTGGACAATAGAGACAAGAGTGTCATGCCCACCCACTTCTGACGGCTGGCGTGTGGTCCTCTCCTGTTCGAGAAAAAGCACAGAGACTTTCACAACATCTGTGAGAGGAGTACAAGAACTGTGACAGTTCATTCGGATAGACCTTCTGCTTTTTGTCCTTTCCTCCACCCAAACGCTTTACAGGAGCTTTGTCTCACTCTAAAACCACACAATAGTCATATTTTCTGCCATTTTTCATAAAAGGACAGAGGTTGATACTTCTAATACAAGTGATGGGTAAAGATAATTGGTGTCATACATGTATGTACAATATTGTTTAAAAGATTAGGGGCGAAAAGATTTGTAAATGTTTTTCTTGAAGGCTGCATTTATTTGAACAAAATAGATTTACATCTAATATGCTGAAACATTTTTTAACTTTAACATTTTTAAAAAAAAATTTATGTATTTTTAGGATCCTCTGATGAATAGAACGTCAGAAACAACAGCATTCATTTGAAATAAATATTTTGTAGCTATGTAAATGTTTACTGCCACTTTTGAATAATTAACGCATCCTTGATGAATAAAAGTGATAATTTCTCTCAAAAAATAAATAAAACCATACAGACCACTAGGGCTGCACAATTAATCGGAATTAAATCGCAAAGGCAAAAAAAATCGCGATTAGGCAGAAGCTGCGGTTGTCATGCGTATCTTTCAGTGAAGCACAGTTCTGTGATCAGCAGTAAATCTCCATCCAAAGGCCAGA